TTTCTTTGGTGTCACTCCCCCTTTTTCAAAACAACTGGTGCTTCTCTGGCATTCTAAACTGTTTGGAAGACCTGGGTGAGGAAGAGAAGGAAAAGGAAGGAGGCAGGTGACCTTATAAAGCAGGTTTCCCTAAGTCACCTCCCCTCTGCTGGCTGGGGACAATGGGAGTTAATGTCTCAAGCAGGGGTCTCCAACCTTGGCCGCTTTAAGACTTGTGGACTTCAAGTCCCAGAATTCTGAGAGTTGAAGTCCACAAGTCTTAAAGCGGCCAAGGTTGGAGACCCCTGCTTGAGACATTAACTCCCATTGTCCCCAGCCAGCAGAGGGGAGGTGACTTAGGGAAACCTGCTTTATAAGGTCACCTGCCTCCTTCCTTTTCCTTCTCTTCCTCACCCAGGTCTTCCAAACAGTTTAGAATGCCAGAGAAGCACCAGTTGTTTTGAAAAAGGGGGAGTGACACCAAAGAAAGAGTGGGGAGAGCAGAGAGAGAAGAGGCACGTGGCTGGCCTTAGGCAAGTGAGGGAAAGGGGAGCAGGCCTGCTGAGCTTGTCAGGGTAAAGGAAGAAACCGGGCTGCATACCTGCCATAGAGTGGCTGCCCTGCGTAGCTCACGGAGTGAGGCAGTCCACCTCCTGGCCCCCCGTAATATCCCACGTCGGGGTTGGAGGGTCCCGGATCACAGTAGCCACGCAGGTGCTGATGTACAGACTGAGATGGTCCTCGTCTCTCTGGCGCCCCCCGCTGGGTAACTCCGGCGTTGCGTAAGTACCAGTCCCGGAGCCCCTCCAGAGCAAGCGCTTTGTGGAAGTTACGATGAGGAGGCAAGGCGGGCCCATAACCAACCTCGCGGGACTGTGGGGGCAGCAGCGGCCCGCAGGATTTAGTGCGGGCCGCGGGTCGGGCTCGGCGCTGAAGCGGGCTTTCGGAAAAGGCTCCCCACTCTAGCTGGGGGGGCCCGTCTCTGCGAGACAAATGCTCACCACCCCCACAGCTCCGGCGTTCTAGGTAATAGTCCAAGAGGAGATCGTTGTACGGTGGGCGAGGGGTCCGGCCAGAGATGCAAGGGGTCAGGGCCTCGGCACTCTTAAACGGAGGGGCAGTGGGCAGGAGGGGCTCTTCTGAAGGGGCTCGTTCAATCAAGGCCTCCGAGCTGTTGCTTCGACGGGTCCGAGCAGCAAAGAGGGAAGCTCTGTCAGCACTGGTGTCCCGGCTAGGGGGCCCAAGCTGGGAATCGTGGCTGCCTGACCACTGGCGGGAGTGGAGAGATGGGGCCTCTGACCTAGGAGGAAGTAGGGGTGAAATTATCGCTTTTAGTTTTATGCAGGACAGCTGTGAAAAAAGAATTGCAAGCATATGCATAATTGAGAGAGGGGGAGTAAGAACCCCTTGCACATCCCAAATATGCATCTACAGAAAAGTTCTTTTGCCTGTTGCATCTCAGGGTGCAAATTAGCTTCGTTTCCTTTTCAGTCCACTTGTTTTAGTCAGGGGAGTGGACTGGGTTAGATAACTCTATTGTTAGTTTGCATCCAGCACAACTGGGGCAATTCAAGATTCCTCACCCTCCGAAGAAGAGGATGGTATGTTCTCAATTGTCTGCCTGAATTACTACCAAAGTATTACTACTAATGCTATACCAAGCCTTCTCCTTCCAAATTTGAGGCATGCTCAGAGTAGGAAGTTCATTACAGAGGTGGGTTCCTACCAGTTCGCACCTATTCGGTAGAACCGGTTCGTCAAATCTACCGAACCAGTTAGAAGAGGTTCCACCAGTGGATGGCTTTTCCTTCATATGGATATTAGATGGTAT